ATGGTCAGAACTCAATAAACCAAAAAAAGTTAATCTGTTTTCATGTTCCAACTCTTACAAGTTTCAGTCTGTTACAGATACAGGAAAAGAAACAAATGATTGTAAGCAAGTAAGAGTCCTGATCCCTCATCTTGTCTCCCAAAGAACACACTCATGGGCAAATATACACAAATCCCCCAAAATGCCTAGGCAGGGTGGGGAAAGGAGGAAAGACAAAGCAGAATTGCTTTAGGTGTACCACTGATTTTGAGTTCCTCACACCTGACAGAAGCTTCCTTCACAATTCATTGCATTTCTCTACTTTATTCCCATGACGGATGTCAGGCAGGAATATGATGCAAACAGCACACAATCCAACCACAGCATCCAAAGGTACAAATCTCTCAGAATTCCTACATCAAAGCCCACACCCTAGTCTGACACTCTTACCCCTTTTCCTATTCAAGGCCACCAAAGGAATTCTTTTTTTGATCTGCACTTGGGTTCTATGGGATACCAAGTTGCATATGGCAACAGGAGTTTCTGAAAACAACAGATAATGTATTAATTACAAGTGGAGAAACCTGACAGACCTATTTTAATTAGCTAATCAATTTGTAGTTGTCAACAATAGGATACATTGATATTTTATGCCTCTGATGTTATATGAGAAAGACACAAACCATCTTATATAGCAGTTTTGCAAAAAATGTTTAATCTGAATGTAACTTGAGGAAATAAAAAGACTGATCCAAATTAAGGGACATTCTTTAAAATAGTGGTTCCAAACTCTTAAAAAATGTCAATGTAGTGAAGATTTTTTAAAAAGGTGGAGGAACTGTTGTAAATTAAAGGAGACTAACTACAATGTTTGGTCTTTGATTGGATCCTGGGTCAGAGGGGAAAAACCCCAAATACAAAAGACACTATTGAGACAATTTGGAAATTTAGATATGAATTGCATATCAGAAAATGTTATTCTATCATACCAAGTAATTTGAGGGTGGTAACAGTATTGTGCTTATGTTAGAGAATGTCCCTCTTCTCCAAGGACACATGCTGAGATAGCTGTGAGTGAAGCGTTATGCCTGTAACTTACTTCAAATGGTTTCGCACTCTCCCCCTCTCTCTTCAACTATATATAGATACAGAAATAGAGCAAATTGGACAACTATTTAAAAACTGGTGAATCTGCCCGGTCGAGCGTGGCTCAGCGGTTGAGCATCAACCTGGGATCCAGGCGATCGGGGTTCGATTCCCGGTCAGGGCACATGCCCGGGTGGGCTCGATCAGTGACTCTCTCATCATTGATGTTTCTATCTCTCTCTCTCCCTCTCCTTTCCTCTCTCTGAAATCAATAAAGATATATTTTTAAAAAATAATAATAAAAAAATAAAATAAAATAAAAACTGGTGAATCTGAGTGAAAGGAAGATGGGTGTTTGTAATACTGCTCTCACAACTTTTCTGTGGATTTGAAAATTTTCAAAATAAACCAGGAATCTGACCATTTTATCACCTGCTCCATAAGCTATCACCCCAGCCCCACCCACTATCACCTCTCATTTGGATGACTGCAGAATAGCTTCCTGACTGGTCTCCTTGCTTCTGCCCCTGTGCCTTCCAATCTACCCCTCACCTAGAGGCCAGGGTGATGTAAAGTGTAAGTAGCTGTCCCCTGCTCAGAGCCTGGCAACAGCGTCTGGATTCGCTGAGAGTACAAACCGAAGTTCACGCGCTGCACTGCTCCCAGGCACCATCTCTTCTCTGCCTTTCTTCCAACTCTGCCCGGCTTCCTGTCTCAGCCACTCGCCCCTGGTTTCCTCAAGCTCTTACTCAGGCCCTTTGCATTTGCTGTTCCCTCTGTCTGCAAAGCTTTTCCCCAGATTTGTTCATGGCACCCTCCCCTCCTCCCCCTCCAATCCTATCTTCTAAGAGAAGTCTTCCTTGACCATTCCTTACTTCTGCACTTTATTTTTCTCCATAGCACTGATCTCTGTCTAACATACCAAACATTTTACTCTTTTGACTTGTATTTTCGGAATGCCCCCCCTCCCCAATGGAATGTAAGTTCCACCAGGGCAGGGACATTTGTCTGTTTTGTTCAGTGCTGTAGCCCCAGGATTTTTAACTGTGCCTAGACTACATTTAGTAGTTATTTAAAAAATATGTGCTAGAATAAGTGAATGCAAACAGCTTTTATCTTCTGGTCATAAAGCCTCTCTCACTAAGGACATTAAGTTAATCAAATGTGCTGGTCATTATGTTCCTTTCCCTTTACTCTCCATCTATCAAAACATACAAACAAAACTCCACCAGCCCTCATTCTTCTAACAAAGAGAGCTCCCCTCCCTGGGAATCACATCAAGTCAGATCCATTGATTTATGTTTGTAAAACAGATTATCCACATTTTGATTCCTCTAACAACAACATTCTTACTTCCAAGCTGGATTTAATGGTTCATTTCAATTCTATTGCTTGCAGAGACTTGGATAAGCTCTACCATGAGAGTAAAACATATGTTCACAATATTTCAGAAACTTTTTAAATTCCACATTGTCATTCAAACTTTCTTTTTTAATGTTTATCCTCTTAATAGTAATATTACCTTATTATTTTTCTCCCTTTAAAGTAAAAATCCAGGTATTTTATAGAAGGTTAGAGTTCCTATTGCAGTATTTAAATAGCACTGGATTCTCATCATTCAGGAGTATGTATGTACACTCAGGTCTTCAGGCCTGTGCGCCTTGCCACAGAGCACACAGGTTAGAGAGGGAGGTCATTCATCTGAAGATTATCACCTTCTGTAAAGCAATTCAGCCAAAGAGCTAACCTCCTTTTATTTTGTAACTAGTTGAAAATCATCTGAATTGATGGCTTCTCTTGTTTAATTATAGATTGATTTTACATTAACAATGAGTGTTTTATCCAAAACCATCTTCTGAAGGTAATAGAAGTGGTAATGATTCTCTAAAATGCTTCCAGTTACTGCAAGATAAAGGTATGGAGCCTTCAGAGCTGGGCTTCTCCCGTTGCTTCTTTGATGTTTGTGCTTACTAAAAATAAGCCATGGTAATTACCACAGTAGATACAAGATACTATTTACACCCATTTGGGCTAGTAAAAGTGCAATAGAGGGAATGCTAACCACTACTAAAAAGGTTTTGAATAAGTGCTCTCACTACTTGAGAGGTGTTGTCAGGGTTTTTTTGGTGTTTTTTTGTGTGTGTTTTTTCCCCGAAGTCATGAAGCACATCAAACACAGAAACAGGACAAAGGCCACAAAATATACTGGAGAAGCCACTTGTCAGGTGAGAGCCAAACTTGAACAAGGGCTCTTTCAAATCTAGGTGGTCTCCTGGTATCCAGAGAGAGAAAAGGGACCATTTATTTCCCTCTAAAATAAATGCTAATGTCCAAGCCCAGGCACTTGAAGAGCAGAGAAATCTGGTCTTTTCCAAAGCTACCCTGCACAGATGATTTCTCCACAGGACCGAGCTGGTGGCGGGCCTCTGCTATTCCTGCCCACCATCCCTTCTCCTTCAGCGCAGGGTCCCTGCCAGCTGGCCCAGGTTCCCCTTTACTTCAAGCTCCCAGAGCACAGGGCCACCAGCTTTTGAACTCAGGCCAGCTCTAGGGACAGTAGTGGCTAGTGGCCATGTTACCCAGCTCAAGGGGTTCAAGACTTGGAATGTTCTATTTAAGGTCCAGAGTAGTAGTCACAAGGTAGCTTTATTTACTTGCAGCTAGAAAGGAGACAGGGATTCATATCCAAAGCTCTGCTTCCCCAAGGGAGGCTTAGCCATTACACTATTCGGTCAAACACATTGATTTCTCTGCAGTGGCTACATTTATCCCACTGCCTTCTTGTCAAGCTCATCCTGTTCACAACTGGTCTGCAAAATACTATGCTACTTTTTAACATTTAGAAAGAATAGCATTTTCTAAGAATGGCCCAGACCTTGTTCTGTGTAACAGCCAGGCCCTCTGGGGACAGAGCAGCAGGCTTTGAGCCCTGGCCAGGCCACTTCAAGCCTTGTGACTGGCTAAGGACTTGGCCCGTCTGGGCCTCACTTCCACCGTAAGCACAGTGACAGCGCTTCCCCGGCACGGCTGTGGCCAGGGCTGAATGAGGCAATCACCAAAGTGACCATTTGGGACAGCGCTTGGCCCACAGTCACCAATGCCTGGCGGCTGTGGCAGTGATCCGATAGTGGGGCACCCCATCAACCCCGAGAGCTACCTGACAGCCTGCTCCGAGCTCTGCAGGGCTAGTGGGACACCCCAGGGCTAGAGGGCGCCGCGGACCATAGGATGTCGCCTGTGGTCCAAGCGCCACCTCCCTCGGAGCTGAGTGGCAGCTTCTCCTCCTGGGAGCCTGGGGAGACCACGAGAGCAGGGACAGCAGAGACAGGGAGGAGAGAGCCAACGCCGGAGGCGCCGCGGGAGGCAGCAAGCGAGGCGGGAACAGCTGCGCGGGGTTCCAGCCTGGCTCAGCCCTTACTGGCCTTACGGGCCTAACCCAGGGCCTACCTTCCCGGGATTTCGTTTCCTCATTTGCTGAGGCCTACCTCTTAGGGGCAAGGAGGTGATGGTGTCCGGCACAGGGCAAATGCTCCAGAAGAAAAGAGTTCAATGAAAAAGGCGCAGGAATGGCTAGAGGCAGAGGGTATCTCTCCGCGTCACCTGCAGCTGGGGAAAGCTGTCCTGCATCCTTGTGGCAGCTTGTGGCATCGGGCTTGTGCTCCTGCTCTAACTCCCCTGTTGGAGGGGCAGCTTCTGAAAGGCTGTGTTGGGGACAGCTTTGCTTCCTGTCACCAGAGCTCTCTGGCCACCTTTCACATAGGCACTCAACCACAGTCTTCAAAAGCCAACTTTGGGCCCTCAGAGGTGTGGCTCAGTTGGTTGGGCATGGTTCCACGCAGGGAAAGGTTGCTGGTTCGATTCCTGGTCAGGACATACACCCAGGTTGTGGGTGCGATCCTTGCAGGGGGCGCGAAGGAGGCAGCTGATCCATGTTTCGCTCTCACAATGATGTTTCTCTCTCCCTAAAAATCAATTTAAAAAAATTTTTTAAACGTCAACTTTGGAATTGATTTAAAGATGATGTAGTCCAAATATTCATGGAATAAACATTCAAGAGTTATAAAAAATGTGAGTACTTAGGAGAGCCCCTGGCATGTAGTGTTACATTCCTGAGTTACTACCTTACCTCTCACAGCCTTATTCTCATCTGAGAGAGTGATTACATTACCCAGGGTCACAGTCTGGTGCGTGGCGGTGCTGGCTGAGGTTTGAAATGAGGCATTCTGCCTCCAGACCCTGTGCTTATCGGCAACCTTTCCGTGTATGGGAGGACTCCCAACCTGCTGGGCCACATCCGCCAGGGTGCAAAGGAGTATATTTTTAGATGCCTTCTCCAGGTTCCTTTTATGATCTTTTGCTCTTCTGTTAAATTAGGAAATAAACCACCAATATAAGATACACCAATCCTGTATGGATCTTAAAAGTGCAGTGGCTCATAGGTTATTGAGATTCCTGTGCATGTTTTTCAATTAGACCTGGGGCAGTATCCAGTTGCCTGAATTTAGAAAGTATAAATTATATCAGCAGTCAAAAGATACATGGAGCAACAGAAGGCAGCTACAAAACTCATAGGACCTGTAAACTTTCTATGATTAACTGTGCCACCACTCATCTGAAGGAAATGTAGCCGTAGTTGCTGGTGAAACTAAGGAGCCCAGATATTATCTTCACTAGAAAGCTGGGTCGGCATCTCACACAGGCTTTACTTTCCCAGAGGCCAGTCATTTATGAGATTTACCCTGTTCTTTCAAGCTACACGTTTCAAAAACATTTCTTTTTAAGGCTGTACAGTTCCTATAATGAATTATTTTCACTAATTGCTGTGCTAGAGGAAATGAAGGTAATCAATGGTGTAGATGTGAGAAGACTCTTCAGGGAAATGTTAAATGGTTGGCCAGAGAGCAACTCACCAAATAGTTGGCACTGTTGCTTGAACAACCATGGGCACAACCATTACACTGTTTTAGGGTCATGGTTGAGTTTTCATGCATTTCTTGTTAAATGCATCTGTTTACATATTAGAAACAAGACTGATGGTGTACCAAGTTTTTATGTTTTAGGAAGTGTGATAGGCTGAAAGTGACCCGCCTCCCAAAGATATCCATATCCGATTGCCTCCAACCTGTGAATGTTACCTTAATTTGAAACAAGTTTTTGCAGTTGTGATTAAATTAAGGATTTTGAGATGGGGAGACCACATTGGATTATCTGGGTGGGCCCTAAATACAATCACAAGTGTAAGTGCCCTTAAATGAGGGAGAGGGGAAGAGAGATTAGACGCAGAAAGAAGAGAGGAAGCCCATATAAGGATGGAGGCAGAGATTGGAGTGCTTTGGCCAAAAGCCAAGATGCCAGGGAAACTTGATCTCATGCAATCTCAATCTCCCAAGGCCAAAATAATAATAAAAATAACCAAAATAGTGAAACCACCAACAAAAAAATTACATGAAAATAATTCACCATAGCAGCTAAAGAAGGAAAGGAGACTAAACCAACACTAAAAACCTCAAAATGGGATGCCAAAGGAGAAATATGAGGAGAATTGGCAGGCACAGCATAGTGAGATCATTAACCCAACTTTCCTACGTGCTGTTTCCAATATTAGCGAGCTGTAGGAAAACAGAGCTTCTGAAGGAAGGGAGTCAACTCCGGTAAGGTGGAGTCAACCCTGGGGCTTTCAGGGAATTAAAAAAGGCCAGTGGAACTAGAGCACAGTTCCATGCTGATTTACTTTTTAAGCTTTGGAAAGTAAAGCATTTTTCTGATCTCTGTATTTTACTTTTTTTTTTTTTTGCATGTTAAAGTCATCATTTAAACTGGATGAAGGTGTATTAGCCATCTAATGTCTTTTGAATATTAATTTTTCTGCCTTACATTTAAATAGATTCAATTTATCATGATATTAATTGAGACCCTTAATTCACTATTATTATCCAAGTACAGAATTATAAGTGAAAATTTAGCAAATACAGAAAAGAAGAAAATACACATTGCTCATTTTTTTTCAGTGTCAATGATATTGTCATTTTGGCTTCTAATCTTTAAGTCTTTGTTCTATGCGTGCTTATTATTTTGCACAAAAATAGGATTATAATGTACCTAGTATTTTGTAACTTGCTTTTTTCACTAAAGAATAGATTTAGTTTAAAATAGTTTAATATTTTTCCATATCTTTTGTATATCTCATGCAATGAAAGTATAACATTTCATCACATGGGTGCTTATTATTTATATTATTTTTAGAATAATTATTTTAATTTTTGTTACTATAAATAATGTATAATCTTCCCTGGCTAGTGTGGCTCCATTGGTTGAGCGTCCTGCGCACCAAAAGGTTGCCGGTTTGATTCTCAGTCGGGGCACATGCCTGGGTTTTGGGCACGATCCTTGGTGGGGGCATGCAGGAGGCAGCCAATGGATGTCTTGCTTTCACATCGATGTTTCTCTCTCTCTCCCTCTCCCTTCCCTCTCCCTAAAAGTCAATTTTTAAAAATCTTTACAAATAAAAATTAAAAATGTATAATCAATACTGTTATAAACACAGATGTACTTGTGTATTTACAGGCATGAATATTAATCTCTTTAGGATGCTGTTAAGTGGAACTTCTGATAAATTAAGCAGAATTCTATTTTTTATGAACTTATCAATAATTTAAGTGAATATGTATACATACATACATATACATCTTATGATTAAGTTATTTTCCAAGTTGTACTAAGAAGTTTATGAGAGAAAATGCATTTTTATTTTTTATTACCTTTGGAAAGCTAAGATTATCATGGGTTTCTTCTCTGATGCAATCAATTCAGAGTTCTGACCGCTACTGTCCCAACTGGACTTCAACACTAAGTGGGACTGTGGAGTTCTGAACAAAAATATTTTATTAGCAATTCATAAGGCATACTAATTGTAAATGTGGTATTATACCACAGTACTGTAACAGAAATATAGAAACAATTGTTTTCTATTCCCCCTTTTAATTGTTGAATTCCCTCTAATAAAAGTGTTTCTTAGATTCACGATCACTTATATTATCCACATATAGCTGTATTTCAAGACCAAAGCCGGCTGAAAAGAAGGCAGAGATCTTCACACTGGCCTAAGCGGTCCCAGGCTGCTGGCCTCCCACTCGCAGGGGGTTAGGAAGGAGCCTGAGGATCTGGGCATGAAAGAGGAGAGACTGGTTGTTGCCTTGGCCCTTAAGCTACCCCGTCAGGTGGGGAGGGCCAAAGGGAGAGCCAGTGCTTCTTCCCTGCTGAAGACGATGATGCTAGAAGCTACTGTTTAGGTACAGAGAATGCGCCAGGGCAGAATTAACTAAATACATCTCAAGGTGGTGACGGTGGCTTATTGCTACCCCTAAAGAATGGTCTCAAGAGAGACCGATCTGAAAATACTTTTAAAGCCACACGGAAATGCCTCGCGTTGCAGCTCATGTATTATGCGACTATGAGACAACCATTATATGAAAATGTCTTGCAGTGTTTGAAAGGTTTAAAAGTCAGAGCCCTGAGCCGATCCTCCTCTCCACCGTCTCCTCTATGATCATGAGACAGCTGCCAGGAGAAGACTCATTTAAGAGGTAATTTTTAGAGTGAAAAACTGCCTTTGAAAATGACTCATAAACAAATAACAAATGCTCTGAAAAATAGATTGTGTTTTTTCTCAATATTTCTGTTATTCAGATATGATTAAGTAACGAGCAGTACCTAATACAATGATAGCACTTGCACCCTAAAGAAATCATCTGGTCTAGCTAGTCATCGTGTCATATGTGATGATAAATCTGAGGCCTGCAGGGGTTAAGTGGTGTTCCCAGCATAGCCTATTAACATAGGTCTCCTAGTCATTTTCCGTACTATTCCTCTAACACAGCGATTTTCAACCTTTTCATCTCATGGCACACATAAACTAAATTACTAAAATTTTGCAGCACACTAAGACATTTATTTTGCTACTGTTGTATTGGCCGTTGTCATTTTTTTACTTGGCAATCTAAGGGAAAAGAGGTCACTGCCCCTGACTAAATAGTGAGGTATTTTATATTTGTAAAATTCTTGCAGCACACCAGTGGTCCCCCCCTTTTTAAAAATTTATCTTTATTATCGAAAGTATTACAGATGTCCCCTTTCCCCCCATTGATCCCTTCTCCGCATCCACCCCACTCCCAGGCGTTTCCCATAACAATGTCTGTATCCATGGGTTATGTTTATAGACATATAATTTCTTCAATTAATTTCTCCCCACCCACTCCCCCCTCCCCACCTTCCCTCTGAGATCCCTCAGTCTGTTCCATGCTTCTATGTCTCTGGATCTATTTTGTTCATCAGTTTATTTTGTTTATTACATTCCACATATGAGTGAGATCATGTGGTACTGGCTTATTTCCCTAAGCATAATACTGTCCAGCAGTTCCCTCCATGCTGTCCCAAAGGATAAGTGATCTCTCTTTTTTACAGCTGCGTAGTATTCCATGGTGTAAATGTACCACAGCTTTTTTTATCCACTCATCTACTGATGTGCATTTGAGAAGAATGTATATTCTGTAGCTTTAGGGTGGAATGTTCTGTAAATGCCAATTAAATCAATCTGATCTAGCATGTCATTTAGGGTCACTGTTTCCTTGTTGATTTTTTGTCTGGAAGACCTATCCAGTGAAATCAGTGGGATGTTAAAATCCCCTAGTATGACTGTCTTGCTGTCAATCTCTCCCTTAAAGTCCTCTAGAATTTTTAAAATAAATTTAGGTGCTCCTATATTGATTGGGTACATATATGTTTATCAGGGTTATAGCCTCTTTTTGGATCCATCCCTTTAGTATTATGTAGTGACCTTTCTTGTCTCCCATTATGGTCTTCATTTTGGAGTCTATTTTGTCTGATATGAGTATTGCTACCCCAGCTTTCTTTAATTTCCATTTGAACGGAAAATCTTTTTCCATCCCATCACTCTCATCCTGTGTGAGTCTTTTGTTTTGAGGTGGGTCTCTTGTAGAAAGCATGTATTTGGGTCATGTTTCTTATCCATTCAGCCACTCTATGTCTTTTTATTGGAGCATTTACTCCATTTATATTTAAATGGATACTTATCTATTGCCATTTTAATTCTTTATGCCTATGTTACTCTTTCTCTCTATTTCTACTTCTAAGTACAGCAATTCCTTTAACATTTCCTGCAACGCTGGTTTGGTCGTGATAAACTCCTTTAGCCTTTTTTTCTGGGAAGCTCTTTATTTCACCATCTATCTTGAATGATAGCCTTGCTAGTTAGAGTAGTCTTGGTTTCAGATCCTTGTTTTGCATTACCTTCAATACTTCATGCCATTCCCTTCTGACCTGTAGAGTTTCTGATGAGAAGTCAACTGGCAGCCTTATGGGAGCTGCTGTGTAGGTAGCAGATTGCTTTTCTCTAGCTGCCTTTAAGATTCTCTCTTTGTCTTGAATTTTTGGATTTTAATTATGATGTGTCTGGGTATGGTCCTCCTTGGATTCTTCTTGCTTGGGACTCTGTGCCTCCTGAACTTGTGTGACTTTTTTCTTCACCAGGTTAGGGAAGTTTTCTGCCATTATTTCTTCAAACAGGTTCTCTAACCCTTGATTACTTTCGACCTTTTCTGGCACCCCTATAATGCAAATATTGTTATGTTTCATATTGTCCCACAGCTCCCTTAGACTGTCCTGTTTTTTAATTGTTTTTCTTTTTGGATCTCTGATTGAGTGTTTTTTTTCTACCCTGTCTTCTAATTTGCTGATCCGATCTTCAGCTTCCTTTAATCTGCTGTTTATTCCTTCCAATAAATTCTTTACTTCTCCTATGTCATTCTTAATTTCCTTCATATTTTCCATATCTTTTCTCATGCTGTTGAGCATCCTTACAATCAGTATTCTGAACTCTATATCTGAGATATTTCTTATCTCCATTTCAATTAGCTCTTTTTCTGGAGACTTCTCTTGTTCTTTCATTTGGGGCTTGTTTTTTTGTCTCCCCATTTTGGCTACCTGTATTGGTTTGTTTCTATGTATTATTTAGATATGCCAGGACTCTCAGTCTTTTCAGAGGGTCTCTGGTGCAGGCCAGTGTCGGACACAGTTTGTGACTGGCCCTGAGTACCCTGTTTGGAGCTATCAACAACGCTAGGCTTGAGGTCTCCTCTGCTGGGGCTGGGTGCAGTTGGACAGGACTAAGATGTACATCAAAGTCTGCTTTCCAAGGCCTGGATTCATAAGTAGATCACACAAAGACTCAAAGCACTCTGAGGTCTGCCTCTGCCTACAGGCTGATTAACCTGATTTTCTTAATGAGCCTCAGGCTGTAGAAACTCCACAGGGTGAGGTGGCTGGTTGTTATCAGTCTCTTAATGAGCCTCAGACTATAGAAGCTCCTCTGGGTAGCGCTAGGAGTTTTCCACCAGGGTGAGGCAATTGCTTCTCTCCCCCCCATACTCCCCCCAGCAAAAGCAGCATATTGTCTGCCTGAGAAAGGTGTCCTCTGCAGTATGGGGGAATGACTCAGCACAGGAATCCAGATGGATACCTTCTGATCTCAATCTCCAGAGCCCACAACCCTAGAGTCTTCTCACACAGCTCCAGTCCACTCTGTCATCCCTCTGCTAGAGCCCAACATGAGTGGCTGCACATGAAACTGTGTGTTGGTTCTTTAAGAGGATGTCTGCAGTTTCAGCCATCTCTCCTTGGCAGACAGAAACCCTGCTGCTTTTCACAGCCAGATGTTATATGAGCACCCTTCTCAGTTCTGGTGCTCTTGGCTGGGAAACCCAGCCTGAGGTTTAGACCCCAGAGTCCTCAGTGGGAACCCCCCACAGCTGAGGTATCCCTCCAGACCTTCAGCTGCTGCCTGTGGGAGCCCAGCCAGCCCCCTTGCACCTCCACACTTCCTACCAATCTCTATGTGGTTTCCACTTTCCTCCTTGGTTATGAGGGTGCTCTCCAGCTCATCTTCAGTTGCAGTTGATTCTTCAGGATGGTTTTTCTATATTTTAGTTGTAATTCCAGTTTGTTTCTGGGAGTGTGTTAGTGTAGCTTCCACTCAGTCTGCTGCCATCTTTAATCTCTCTCTCTCTTAACTTAGGAAATCATGTTCAAGATAAGGCGAGGCATAAAAATAAAAAAAAAGATAAGGCGAGGCATTTATTTATTTAATATATGACCCACCTGGGAATTTTTCTTTTTTTAATTGAATTATTGGGGTGACATTGGTTAATAAAATTATATACCAGTGTGCTGATCTAACACAAACTGCACAAAGCAACAGATCAGATCAACAGAAGGATCTATCTACCTCCTTAGCATTTACCATAAGTTACCAAGACCCAGACATGGACAGTGATCCTTCAGCCAATGGTCTCAACCAGAATGACATACATAGTTTGTATGCACAGCAAATCCTCCAGTTTTAGTCAATCTAAAAATCAAAATTTTTTGCCATTGTTCTACAATTATTCACATAGAACAAATATGATGGGCTCAAATTTTTATCCCTCTTAATGATTTCTGTTCAAACTTTCATTCCAAAAAGTTTTGTATTAATAAGTAGGAAAAAACAGAAGTCTTGTTAAATGACCCATCAATTGTATGAACCACTTCTGATAAACAGTTGATCATTTTCAATAAAGACACTGAACATTACTTGGCTTGAGTGACCAAGGTACAGTTGTCTTAGATACTTTAAACAATGACCCCTTGAGTCTACAGCAAAATATACAGAGAAAAATGCTAGAAAAAAAGGCTCAAATATCAAGACAATGAAAGATTATCAATATCTTCATCTGAGAATACATGGTCTGGACAAATATATTTTGTTAATTGATAGAGTTAAGTATTTTTTTTTCTTTTAAATAAAAATGAA